GCTTTATAAGCTTTTCCTCTCGCCTTTGTTTTGCTTTTCTTTTAGTGGTAGAGTGGAAAGCACAGGCACAGTGTGACGGTTGTTACTGTTTAAGGTGAGGATTCAGCTTGGTCCAAAGCTGTTGAAGTACAATGGAACCCCCATTAATAAGAAGAAAATAAAAGGTCATACAGCCAAACTATTTTTCTTTTCCCTGACAAAAAGGAATGAGCACCACATTCTCCTCTTACTGTGTGATGTAGAGCTAAAATTGATGGTCTTACCAATGCAGTTTATTTTTAAATCCTATTCTGAAAAGAAAGAAACAAGAGTGGATCAATTAGAAATGATGACCTAAAGAAGTGTTCATTTAATATATACTTTAAAACCCAGGTGGCAAACTCAAAGTCCGGGGGCCAGATACGGCCCGCCACGTCCTTTTATGCGGCCCGCCAAAGCAAATGACAGGCCTGAGGATTTCACGGTAACGATCGTTTCCGGGAGCATGTCGATTCAGTGGGATCATTTGTATGGTACCGAAAATTCGTTTCCTATAAAAATCACGATTCCGAGGCAAGTATTGAAGTTGGTCATTAGATCTAAAGGCTAATCGCTATGAAAAATATTATGAAACAATCTTAGTTATTCTATAATTTATTAGTCGTAGAAATGGCAACTTTATGAATAAAACATTCGTCACAAAGTGTAGTAATACTAATGTTAACTGTCGGTAGGCCTAACGATGACGTGTGGTACATTCTTTGGTCAAATTGATAGTAGATTACACAGTGCATCGCCTTGGGGTTGCAAAGAGGACGTCAAACCACATCAATACTAGAAGTCTATATATAGTAATAAGGTCATTCTTTTTAAAGATTCATCACATGATTTTAATCATTCAATTCCTATTACATGCTTTTGAATATAAAGGGGGTGAGTAGCCATTGATATTATGTTTATTTACATAAATAATACACACACAATCATGTTAACAGTGTCAGGTTTACTTGTGGCCCATGGTGTATATACAGTAGTTGATTAATTGATATATTAATGATTACCAGTAAATTAATCTTTGCAGTGTGAGACTGAAAAAATACTCAGATTTTGTGGTATGCTGTATGCATGATGCCATATGAGTACAATAAGTGTTAAACAGCATATTTTGATCCATTTATTTTATTGAATAAACCTGGAGTACACAGCTGCTGATGTAATTATGTTCATTGTTAATCCATAATTTTTAAACATTTACCCTTTAAATATTACAGTATACTTTTGAGTATCAGAATTCTTGATTCTGAATATCAGTCAAAACAGAAAAATGGGTTCCCATGATGAACGTTTACGGAACCCAAAATTTGTTACAGTGGTCTCCCATTGGGGTAATCTAACGGAACCGAAAAACAGTTTCTGTTGATTTCTGAAATCCTCAGGCCTGAAATGATGTGCATGAACTTCATGTGTCTTGCTAAATACCAAGAATTCAAATGGTATTCACTTTTAAAAACGTTGAGATATTGCAACCACAACTTTGTTTCCAATCCCTGGTTTAAAATAATAGCAGCATTTGAACAAACACTTTAACTGGTCTCCAATTACAAAACTAGTCATTCACAGATTTGTTGGATGTAATCTGAGACAACCATACATTAATTTCAATTCACACTGTGAACTTCATTAATAATGGCCCTCTGGAGGAAACCGTAACTATGATGTGACCCGCGATAAAAATGAGTTAGCCAGCCCTGCCTTAAAATGATCTGTGGTGCTTTTGCAGGTCAGTTTTTAAAGGACTGAGAATCCTATATATCGGTATTTACATGTTTAAATATGTTAAATATTGGCAAACTTAGACATCAATTAATGTTGGTCAATGAAATCATTCAGTATAAAATTACATTTTAAAGCTATCAACAGTCAGTACTGTAATTTATCAGTCAGACACAAGTAGAATTGACAGAAATATGAGCCTGCGATTGCCCAGAATATTCGTTAACATAACTTTGACTAAATTGACTGTGGAATACATATTCGACAGAGAAAGGAGGCAGAGACTGCCTACTTGCAGCGAAAGGGTGGATACGAGAAAAATGTGAGGAATGCTGTGAAAGCGTATCTTCCCAGGCTCACAAACAAGAGGGGGAAGGAAAGCAAGGGGGTAGCACAAAGAGCACAGAGAAGTGGCACGGCATCATCCTTATTGATACAAATCAAAACAAGGGCCCAACATAATGCTCATTTCTAGGATTGATTATGATGTGACACTTCAACGTGAGCAAACTAATCACAGAAGTTAACCCGTGCAGTCCCAAATTGTCATCTCACCTTTACTGCAACAACAAAAACCCTTCAACCCATTGATCTGTAGGGAGCTGTCTGTCCCTTCCAAACATTTTCAGCATTTTGCAGGGCCTTTGATCCAGTCACTCCATGTGTTCTTCACGGTACGATCGCTTTTAACCCAGCATCTGGCTTCAGATAATAATCTCGCCGGCAACCAGCCGGCAGAGACCACCCACTGAAATCATCCAGTGAACTCGGTGCCAGGAGAAGACTTGGGAAGGCCGTGTGTGATTCACTGTCCACTTTTTAACGACAGTAAGGAGAGCAAAGAGTGCCAGAGAGGCAATGAGTGAAACCGAGTCACAACTTTATAACTCCTAAGCCAGAGGGCCTGGAAAACTACTGGAGCTAACAAAGAAAACAACCACTGACTACTAACACCTTTGAGAACATCTACAAGCCTGCAGGTATATTGGTATCGACTGTCTGGACTGAAATTGCTTTAAGTAGCCAAAAATCCTTTTTTGGATGAGGACAAATCCTCGACTGTATTCTCTCTAATTGGTTTGGTGTATAGCGGGAGGAGAATCAATCTTGTCGTGAGTCCAACGTCGTGATTCTGTCCGTGATGCCAATGACGTTACACCTCAATGGCATCCCACGTACAAAGAGTGTAAGTCATGCAGCGGTGCATTGTGTATCTGTGCGTGTCCATGTGTCCCTTTACAAGTTTGTGGTGTTCTGGCAAGGGCTAGGAAATTGGGAGCGCAAGCAAGCCGTTGTGCACTTATAAGGCCTGGAAAGTGTGTGCTGTGCTCGTCAATAGTAGGCTAGAGGCTATTTGCAAGACAGTCACTCAAGGGGAGATTGCAAACCAACAAATGACAGCATGGCCTTTTGGCCACTGAAAACTAGCAATAGTCAGGCTGAAAAGAAAGCACGTTTGACTAAGCCTGGTTTGTTCAAGAATTGATCAGTAGGAACTGCAACTGTGTCAGGCTATCAGCAGAAGTGTGCAGTCATTTTCTGCTTTTAAACTGCCTTTGAAAAGTAATCCGACGGCTCTTGCCAGCCTTTCTGGAGCACTTGCTTACTGGCAAGCCGCTGGCCAGTATACCAGCAGTGCCCAACCGATCGATCACTGTGCGCATGCGCGTGTTATTATTGTTATTATTATTATATATTTTCTGATCGTGTCCACTGCAGCCTATGCACCCTATCAGTGTCAGATATACAAAAAAGTATTAAAAAAGAAAAAAGTAGGTCACCTTTGAGATAGGGTGGCATATGAACTGCACCACTGAAAGCTGTTTGCAGTCAGCAGTCTCTTGCAGCTCACGTTAAGAGATGGATGGATGGATGGATGGATATTTTAACTCTCATTCAAAGCTTGTTTGTTTGATCTGCAATGCAACAATGGCATTGGCAGAGAAAGGGAATCTGAAGCGGAATTTTAAAAACAGTACACACGAGCTACGATATCGCTGTGTTAGGTCTCCCAGTAAGGGAGGCTGTGCTTTTGTTTTTACAAACGCAAAGATATACCTGTCTTGTATCTTGTACATTTTTATGTTTCATTAATGTTAAGGGTCAGGTATGGCTATTGCTGATCATGGCATGAGTGTGTGCACGCGTGCGCGCGTCTGTTGATATTGGTGGCAAAAGTTTATGACAGTAATATAAACTGACCCCAAATACAGTCGGGAAGACAAGTGAAGACAGCATTCACGCTACCTGGAACAATGTCAAAATGAATGCGTACCAAGGCATTTATGTCCTTGTATTCTTTGGTAAGCTAAAGTTCATTTTGCGGTTGGTCTTCTTACCGCGTGTTACTTTCCTGCATAGCATGAACGAGTGTTGCTGCGGCTGGCTTGAGTGTCTTCCTGATGGCGCACATCAAATGAACGGGTACTCAAGGCAAAATAGGGGGAGAAACGAAAAAAAAAAGTGTTTTTTTTTTTTTTAATGGCGGTATTCATATTATGAGAACTCATTTCACCGCTGAGCATGCATATATTCAGAATTTTGCTGCTTTATATAAAGCGAAAAACGGAATGGGAACATCTTTTGTCAACATAGTAGCTGGCCTACTGCCACAGTACTGGTGTTAACAAGAACAGAGTAAACAACCAGTTGAAATGATTGATTTGGGTGGGGACAGATAACGCACTTGAGAGTACACACCGTTAAATGTGCAGCAGTTCCGTGTCTCTACGTGGCTTGCTTCTGTTCACGAACAGCAAATTTTCTCATTTTTCTTGGCAGTTTGTTGAAAAGCTAGACTAAAAAGCTGTTGGTTGTACGGTTGGAGACATCAAAACTACATGGTACCGTCATACATTGAGGCCACTTTTTAAGTTCTTGTTTTAGCAATGATCGCATATCACTAGAATGACTTCCACCAAGACTATGCTCATAACACAAGTTAAAAAAAATAAAATAAATCATGTAGTGTACCGTATTAGTCATGTTAGTGTGTTTGTGGGTCATGAAGAGTGCTGAGATAACGGACAGAGTCAGTGCAATTCCTGTGGCCGCACCTTCATCCAGAAGTACACTAACATTTTTGACCGATGCTTCTCGAGGCCGAAGCCTTAACCCGCTAATGCAGAAGGCATTATCCGATTTTGACACACGACCGGACAAAGTAATATCGTGAGAACAAATTCTCCAAAATCTCAAAATTAGCCAGCATCTCGATGGTAACAAATGCATGTAAACATAAGTCTTACCCTTGACACAGTGAGGGGCATGCTGAAGTCTTTTCCACCCTGAAGCCTGAAGCCCCACGGCGCTGGGCCGCTGAGAGCTACAGAGTACACGTTCATAGCCTTTGGGAAAGACAAAGAGGCAAAATATATGAATTTGAACTATCATTTAACCTAAAATTGTTCAAATCCTCAGGTTACAGCCTCTCAACAATAATTATTCTCTGATGTCTGTCGTCCTTCATGAAAGCAGAGTCATCTTTTGTTTAGTTAAAGTAAGACTGTTTTTACTTTGGAAAACAATGACTAAACCAGACACTGAATCATTGTTGTTCTTTTTTTTAAAACACTAAACAAGACCAAATACACGACATTAATTGGTTAAGAAAAAGTACTCTGGAAAAAATGGGTTTGCAATACACTTAAACTGCAAAAACAAAATGTTTTCTAATTAATGGATGCAATAATCAATTCTAAAAATAATCATTAGTGAGAGCCCTACTTTCGATGTTGTTTTCAACACCACAGGTGACAACACCGCTAGTCAAGACTGAATCAAAAGCAGCTCTGCTAGCTGCTGACAAGAAGTGCGCTCCATTTAGCCTCAAATGGTTCACGTCGCAATTAATCCTAAATCAATTTCACACGTCTAATTTATATGTTGGGAGCTACAATATGTTTTTGACAAAAAAATTGGTTCATGCATCATAGGATAGAATTTACCAACATGACCTCAGTTGTTGACATGGCACATACAATACAAAATAGGAACGGGCACTTCTACAGACAGACTATTAGGGACTGAGGCGAACATTCATATGTCGAGTGTGATATTACAAATCGGTGCCAGACACACCATCATCATAAATCTACTGAATAAAAGCAAGCGCGGTGACATTTAACAAGAAGCTCCGATTTCAATATAATGTGGCGTGGAGGCAACACATTTCATTGAAAGATAACCCGTGTAATAATCCACGTAATCATGAAACACTGTCCCGCTTGTAAAATGAAAACTCCTTTTGACATTTTCAAATGGTTCACATAATCTGTCTCGCTGTTATTAGACAAGGACAGCTGTGTTAAAACTTGTCCCTGACATTGGCTGACATGCTACTAAATAACTAATGCAATTTTCAAAGCGCAACTCGAGACGGGGGCCGGTGGGGGCTACATCACTTGCCGCCGGTTTACAGCTGTGCGACTAACCTAACCTCTGTTACCTGCTCTTCGGCACATAACCTCACCCGCTCGGCACTACCGCACCTACCTTGTCCACAAGGGCCGACCCGTGGCCCAAACCTGGGAGAAAGCTAGAAATTCACAAAGGCTCGGGCAAGCAAGCAGAGCCTCACTCTAGCTGGCAAAGCCTCCCCCTCTAAACTTTGTAGCTGCAACTCACTCCTCAGAGGCTATATAAGGAATGTAAAACTACACCAAACTATTTCAGCCCAACACCCACATGAGTCACAGGGAGGAAAGAGGGGAGTGGAGATGACGACGTCAACGGCCACTATATTCTAACATCTGACTGCTAAGTTGAACTAAGTGGATTTCTTCGATACCCCCCCCCACCCAAAAAAAGGTCTGTGTGCTTGTAGAGCAGCCAAAGAAACACAAGTGAAGAGAGGGCAAGGGAACATTACATTCCTTCTGGACGACATAAGGCACAGTCCAACCAAACCAGTAATTATGACAGGACATCCAGCCTTTCAAGCAACAGATGGACTGCCTTAGAGAGGAATCAAAAACCAAATCCAAAGGGGAATTATGAATATTTAACAGAACTCTTTTTGCCTTGAGCTGCAGTTAACCACAAAAATTAGATACATCTTGAGAGGTCTTATTTTGCTAATTCTAATATCGTAATTCCTAAAATAGTGTCTCGAATAAACACCATTGTCCACTTGAATAAATAACAAACCTCCGATTTCCTTTTGAGAAAAAAACAAAACAAAACAAAAAAGTGGTTCCTCTAGGTCACTGTAATTATGTTTACTGTCTCCTGTATACACACACACACACACACACACACACACACACACACAAAAAAGAAAAGAATTGACCTTGTTGTTCCAATACTTTTGGAGGGGACACAAAGACGCAGCTAGCAAAACAGACATTGCATTTGTAAAGCATCATTCAGAAGCAAATGAAACCAAGTATGTATGCATTTTCTATTTTGCATCCATGTTTGGCATTATTTCATATTCCTTTAAAATCCAATTCACAAAAAGGCAAAACTATAGCTATACCGCCCCCCCCCGCCCCCCCCAGTATTAACGCGTGATATGCTCAGCAGTTGAGCAAAGAAACATCCGCATCAACTGTACATACCATCCCAAGTATTTCCTTTTTAAATAAGAAAAAAAGGTTTGCTGTCATAATTCACAAGTCACAAATACAAACTTTGGGTTTAAAGTTTAGGTTTTGCAAACATATAATCCGATTTTGTCATCAACCCTCACTTTGTGATGGGTAGTTGCCAGCTGACAGTCACTTGCCAACATTTTAGGTCTTTGCCTACCAACATAATCTCTTATTACATCATACCTTCATATAATGTCACAAATTGCTCTCATACTAGTGGCTGCAATTTGCCTTAAAGTAATTTAAGTCTTTGGCCTGAGTCACATCTTCTGCAAAATTAATAGTTGGCTAAATTACACATCTAATAAACCTGCTTGGACAAGGACGACCGATAAAAATGAAAATACTCATGAAAATAGTATTCAAATTCAAATGCTATTTATGGCATCCATGCTATATTGTCTGAATATGATGTGTGTCTCAAGACGTTCCGTGCTTCAGCTAAACAAAATGATACGTTTACTACAAGAGCAATCCACATCTTATGCTTTAGTGTACTTGTATTTTATTTCCAAGTGAATAACTGCCAAAATGTTAAGTCATTGAAGGCACACAAGTTTTCTTGTGATATACTTTATGAGATAGAAACTCCAACATACACGCTTGTGGGAAGTAGTGGTAGATTGATTTCTATGAAGGAGTATTTGGGTACCGTAACTTATATTTTTCCTTCTAACTTTATTCTTGTAACATTATGACTTTATTCACAGTATTTTGTACAGTTTTGTTGTGTTGTCATTTTATATTTTCACTATTTGCCAGCATTTTGCAGCATTGTTTTGAGTTTGAATCCCACACGTCACGAAGAAATTACCCAAACGAGCCATTTAGAGTGTTGCTATCATTTTGTCAGCTACTGATTGGCGGTTGTGTCCTTTCAGTAAAGTTGCCTTGCTGATCACTTCCGTGTTTTCCCTTCCTGCATGGAATGGAGTGTTTGCCGATTGGCATCCTGACACTGGTCTTCACTGCATTTCGAAAACAGCATTGGTGGACCACACAGATAGTGTATACAAAAGAAGTAACATAACCAGCCGGCAACTGCCCTTACCATAACCATGTTCCTAACACAAAAAAAAAGTCACCGATGTAGAAGGGCTGAGGACAGGTTAATTAGCAGTTACTCATGCAGGCTTAATATTTTCTACTGTCAATTTCAACATATGACAACTTTGTCAATTCTTCACAAAGAGGACACTTTTATGTCGGCGTTGAAACAGGACTGCAGTGTATTACTTAAGCTTCATCATCACTGTGAGTAGATATTGTTGCATTGTTCCTACAATAGATTTGTGTTATTCTTTGATTTTACCCTCTCAATTGCTCATTTTTTAAGTGTTTAAAGGCTATAAAAGAGATTTAAAAGTATCATACATGCTATAGTACAATGCTTATGGTGCAATTCTGAATTGCAGATTCAATTTATTGCAAGGATGTTGTGGAATGTAACCCCGTGATGGAGAGGAATTCACTGTTTTAAACTTTTTATCACGAAAATATGACTCTCAATAAAATGTACAAATTTATTCTCGCAGTATTACGACTTAAATTTCGAAAATACAATTTTATTTTCAAAAATATTCACCTTTATTCTTTTAAGGACTTTTTTCATGAAAATATTCAATTTAGTCTTATGTGACAACGACTTTATTCTTGTATTCTTTGTATGAAATTTTAATCTCATTCATTCATACGTTCCTTAATTTTTCCGAACCGCTTGCTCCTCACTGGGGTCACGGGATTTTAATCTCGAAATGAAAAATATATTTTTCTCAAAAACATACAACTATTATCAGAAAATTCTGACTTTAATCTCGAGGACGGATAGATAGATAGATAGATAGATAGATAGATAGATAGATAGATAGAGATATCGTAAATAAATAAATACATACATACATATACAGTATAACTTTATCTCTAACAATCTAAAAAAAAAAGTACTTGCCATAACTACACAAATTTTGACTTTTACTACGAGGGGACGGCAATCGAATTACGACATTTTTGGGTTGACGAGTACTGGAGTTCCTTTCCAGGTGAATATTCGCCTAAAGTTACTTTCATTGGAAGCAGCGCGTGAGGCTTTCTTTGGAGACGTTGATAAGAATATATTTTGATAAAGTAAAATAGTTCTCCAACACACACGCTTGTGACATAATAAACTAGGTGTTCGCTGTGCAAAAACTCGTCGATCAAGACAACCAAAACCAACTACACGCCTAACTTTTGTTGCAAAAGTCGATTTCAAGTAACACGGTAGAGAAGAAAAACGAACTGCTAGTTTGTCTTACCTCGACTTCCTCTGTATGCTTACAAGCAACAGACGACCGGATAGCGCCGCGAAAAGTTGCCTGAGTGTCAGACTTCCTCTGGGCTAGTGCGAGGAGGAAGCCGCCGTGGTAGTCCTATTGGCTGCGGAGTGCCGAGACGTCTTTACAGTACGGCGAGACGTCAGAGGTCACATGGCACGCAGCCGAGTAGAGCGCTCCGAGTGGGACCCACGGACGTCTGTTGGTGGTATACCAGGAAGAACCCGGTTGTGGGTCGTGGTTGAACCACAACACGGCGAAAATCGGTTTACCATAAAATGTGTTTTGTATTCACTTGAAATAATCTTGCGACAGTAAATATACAGTAGAAAAACGACATACAGTACCTGGTTTCTGTCATCTAGTGAGGGGTGATACCAGATGATTTTGATTGCAATACCGACCGATACTGATACTTATTGTGTGCGTGTGTTTGACCTCATAATGAAACACGACAAAAAAACTTACATTGATTAAAAGTGCTGAATTTGTTTCGTTAAGAACATAATAGTGATAGCAAATTAAAGTACTTAATTTTGATGAAAGATATGTGAGGGGACCCCCCACCCCTTCCAAAAGGCACACATGAACTTTATTGTTAGACTAGCCACCATTACATTGAAAAAGAAATGAGAACGGTGCCAATGATTTATTTACTAATAAATAATGAGCATAAATATGAATTACCTAAACAAATAAACAGATCAGAGAAATTACTTTATCAAATGAAGTATACCTTTGTTGTGCAGTTCATCAAAACAAATGTCCTGACAGGAAAGCAAAAAAATAAGACAAATAATTAATTGAGATAACTAGAGATTAAACTGTTTTTTTGTTTACAATAATTAACACATTTCAATATGCTTTTATTTTTACAACGCAACATCAGTGTTCAGGAACAGCAACATTTTCACAGTTGTCATCCATCCTGTTTGTAGTAAGTTTTAACAACTGTGCCACAAGCACTTAACTTAACAACTGTGACACAAGCACTTTGTGAGAGGAGCAGAGCACAGGGGCAACAAGGGATGATTCACCCGGAGCGCAAATCTAGCCAGAACTGCCTCTGACTACAACAAACATTTCCCCGACTTGAAACTGGCACACAGAGGTGGAAAAGAGAAAATGTACACAGGTTAAAAAGTCTCACCACTGGGGGGAAATTCAAGGTTTAAGTGCATCCATCCATTATCTGAACCACTTTTCCACATGAGAGTCGTAGGCAAGGTAAAAGTCAAATATGAAAAACAAACCCGACTGTAACCCAGAACTGTTTGTTCTAAAATATGGAGGTGTCCCCCTATTTGAACGAAGATGGCTAATCCTAAAACAAATCAAACTCAACTAGCATGAAATCAAATCTATGCAGATAACCTCAAAGCAGCATGCAAAGCGCACCCTTGCCCAAATGCCTTCCATCCTAAGGTTGAAGCAGAACCACAAAACCTCATGGAGCCAAATACACGAACCAAAGTAGATTGTTGTATTGAGTACAGTACTATGGACACAAAACAGATAACTGTTAACTGCATAAGACTCAGTACAAAATTGACACGATTGACAATGCTCCCAAGCCAGAAAACATGAGCCAGCCACAGTCATTCCTAGGCCTTGTAAATTACTCCTCCAAGTTTTTGGCAAACCTCTCATCTGTCCTGCACTCACTCAACATGCTGCTCCAACAAAATGTTAAGTGTGAATGGACCACAGACTGTGAACAGACGTCCAAAAAAGCATTACTTTATATCAAGTGTGGATCCACTGTGACCCAAAGTTATGCTTCTACTTAGCATGTGATGTTCCATCATACGGAATTGGCTCTGTCCTTTCGTTGCATGTCGATATCCATCTGTTTCCTACGTTGTTAAATCATTGTTTAATTATTTTTGAAAAATTATTAACACCATTAGTGTCTTCACATGGATGAAATACCATTGCATGTTTGAAATAAGTTAAATGAGAGTAGAGATTTTTTTCTCACAAGTGTTTATGCTTGTGGAGGCTCTCAGTCGTGATGTTCCATCATACGGAATTGGCTCTGTCCTTTCGTTGCATGTCGATATCCATCTGTTTCCTACGTTGTTAAATCATTGTTTAATTATTTTTGAAAAATTATTAACACCATTAGTGTCTTCACATGGATGAAATACCATTGCATGTTTGAAATAAGTTAAATGAGAGTAGAGATTTTTTTCTCACAAGTGTTTATGCTTGTGGAGGCTCTCAGTCGTACAGGAAAGTTCCATCGTAGAAAGGGTTCTGTCAGTCGTCATCTGTACCTGTGGGTAAAAAACAAAAAACAAAAAAGGACGTTTCGCTTCTCTCACAAAGCTTCGTCAGCGGTAGACAACCCTGAAGTCTCCGTGAAGACTCCGGGAAATTGCTCTGCGCTAAAAAGCTGAGCGTGGCCTATTTGAGGACTGGGTGGGGATGGTTAGTCACGCCCCTATGGTGAAGAGGCCCATTGATTTCTAAATTTAGAAATCAGTCTGATTTCTAAATTTCTAAATTTAATTTTTGTTTTTTACCCACAGGTACAGATGACGACTGACAGAACCCTTTCTACGACACAAGTGTTTATCAAACTGGACCCAAGAATTACTCAAGAATTAGCTCTCAATTTCAAAAAGGTGGGTGACCCCTGCATTGTCCATGCAACGTCAAGTTCAAAGCAAAACCTGATGGGGGGGGGGGGGGGGGGGGGGGGACTGCACTCTTTCTTCCTTAAAAAAAAAGAAAAAGAAAAAAAAAAGGCATTTGGCAGCGCCGCAGGACGCGTCCTCAAAATGGATCTCAGAGCAAGGCGGCTCTTTGTGAGCGAGGAAGCGCTGAAATGGCAACTTTGCATTTCTTAACACGTGAAGCGACAATATGCCACCCCGGAGACATTCTGTTCCTCCCTCCACCTGCATGTGCATGATTGTGGAGGAGGTAAAATGGGCCTCTGTGGACACCTTGAGCTGAGAAATAGGAAGAAAACATAGGGGGGAAAAAACCCAACGTAAAAATACAACATTTGTACATGGGAAGACGCATTAGATCTCTCCATCCAGGTAAGCCAACAAGAATGATCATGACATCCACTGGAGTTTTTCCCTCCACACAAGACCTCTTCCTGAACATAAATGACAATGGCGACCTTAAAGAGAGGAATGGCAAAGGAAGCGGGAAGTAAAATTAACACAATAGAAAGCAAAAATTCGAAAATTAAAAGTGATATGAAAAGCAGGCTGGTAATTTTATATCGAACGAGACTAAAATTCACTGATTGTTTGCTCCAATCCAACAATGCCATATTGATATTATTACCACAAATACATAAGGGGGAGGGGGTGAGAAGACCCTGCAAAAAAATGCAATAGAAGGAAATTAAAGCGGATGTGATGTCACGAAAAAAAATAACTTCCTGAAAAATAAATTGAATGAGAAAAAAGTTGGACCTTTTAAAAGTATAAAGTTCCCCTTGCCCAAATGCCTTCCATCCTAAGGTTGAAGCAGAACCACAAAACCTCATGGAGCCAAATACACGAACCAAAGTAGATTGTTGTATTGAGTACAGTACTATGGACACAAAACAGATAACTGTTAACTGCATAAGACTCAGTACAAAATTGACACGATTGACAATGCTCCCAAGCCAGAAAACATGAGCCAGCCACAGTCATTCCTAGGCCTTGTAAATTACTCCTCCAAGTTTTTGGCAAACCTCTCATCTGTCCTGCACTCACTCAACATGCTGCTCCAACAAAATGTTAAGTGTGAATGGACCACAGACTGTGAACAGACGTCCAAAAAAGCATTACTTTATATCAAGTGTGGATCCACTGTGACCCAAAGTTATGCTTCTACTTAGCATGTGATGTTCCATCATACGGAATTGGCTCTGTCCTTTCGTTGCATGTCGATATCCATCTGTTTCCTACGTTGTTAAATCATTGTTTAATTATTTTTGAAAAATTATTAACACCATTAGTGTCTTCACATGGATGAAATACCATTGCATGTTTGAAATAAGTTAAATGAGAGTAGAGATTTTTTTCTCACAAGTGTTTATGCTTGTGGAGGCTCTCAGTTGTACAGGAAAGTTCCATCGTAGAAAGGGTTCTGTCAGTCGTCATCTGTACCTGTGGGTAAAAAACAAAAAACAAAAAAGGACGTTTCGCTTCTCTCACAAAGCTTCGTCAGCGGTAGACAACCCTGAAGTCTCCGTGAAGACTCCGGGAAATTGCTCTGCGCTAAAAAGCTGAGCGTGGCCTATTTGAGGACTGGGTGGGGATGGTTAGTCACGCCCCTATGGTGAAGAGGCCCATTGATTTCTAAATTTAGAAATCAGTCTGATTTCTAAATTTCTAAATTTAATTTTTGTTTTTTACCCACAGGTACAGATGACGACTGACAGAACCCTTTCTACGACACAAGTGTTTATCAAACTGGACCCAAGAATTACTCAAGAATTAGCTCTCAATTTCAAAAAGGTGGGTGACCCCTGCATTGTCCATGCAACGTCAAGTTCAAAGCAAAACCTGATGGGGGGGGGGGGGGGGGGGGGGGGTCGAGTGCAGCAGTCATGAAGGCCAGCAGATGGCACCAAATATCAAGATATCGTACCCTGTGGCGACTGGTCGTTTCCATCGTCGACGATTGAATCAAGTGGAGAAATCATGAATCATCAGTGAGGGCTTTAAATCGCCGAGTGTTTTATCCAAGGCCGTTTTGACGTTTTTAGCTTCATTTATCACCCTCCCTGCTATTGCAAGTTTAATATTCATCATTTACTCGGTTGTTGGGGCGCTGGTGATTAAACAAGGGTTTGTTTGCCTTGATCACACACATTTAGCTGAGTTAAACTTCAAGGCAACACTTTAGACGAAGATGGCTGACAACGGAGCACACCCGACAGAAGAGGACCCGGCCGCCGCCTTCTTAGCCCAGCAGGAGAGTGAGATAGCGGGTATAGAGAACGACGACGGAGGCTTTGGGGTGTTGGACGAGGCGGAAAGCCAAGAGCCCCCGGTGCTACCGACGAGCAACTACGGCAAGTTTCCGACCGTTCAGCTAACAGCTACGAGCTAACGAAAGCTAACGTAGCCTCACTGAGCAGACATAAAAGCTTCACTTTTATAGAAATGATTTAACTCTTAACCAACTTGGAGAACAATAGCACCAGTCATGTTTGCTACTGTAACGTTGACACTCAACTGGCGACAATGTTGCCATTTATAAACCTTTAGCCGGTTAGCGTAATAGCCTCAACGCTAGTTTGATAGCTCTGTTCAACAGCAATGCCGTTTGCACATTTAAATCACGCACCCCTCGTTTAATAATTCATTTTTTGACCGTACACCATCTAAAGAATTTCAGCGATATGAGTAAGAGTGGGTGTCTTAACGTTTACTCATCAACCCGGAAGTTGTGTCGCTTCAGCAGGCCGAACAGGTGCTGCCGCATTTTTTGCATGACTCTTCACAGTAACAACAGGGACAGAGCAGCAACGAATGGACATCAAACACGCCCCAAAAGGTGTGTGTTAATATTAATTTCTTATTTAATTCTTGTTTTCGTGTCATGATGTTAGATCCTTTTGGAGAGGAGACCGCCACAGTGAACGGGGATCTGTTTCAGGTGGGTCAAAACAAAAAGAAAAAAATGACGTGCTTAGGAATCGAGGCAACTGGACTTGTTGTCTTTTGTCTAAAAAGCTTCTCCAGCTTTATGTCCTTGGTGAGATATTCAGGAGACACAGATGTCAGTATGATAGGGAACGGCGCAACCCTCCTCCTGTGACGACGACAGGGCTTTTCGAGTTTGGCAGATGACTTTCACATCTCTCTCAAACCAGTGGTCCTCTCTGTCCAGAATTTGGGCGGTGTTGTCCTCACTTTTTTTTTGGAGATGAACATGAGCTGCTAACTCTGGGCCCGAAAAGAGTGCACTCCTCTGTTTTACCATGCACGTGCTGAGGGGTTGCTTGTTCTCGCCAATGTCGAGGCAGCTACAGAGGTGTCGTTATAAGTCCATTATTTTGCATGCAAGATTTACTTTGCCAGTCTTAATATTTTGAACAAGTCCCTAGTTGCTGTAGCAAAAAAAAGTCATTCAAATTGAGGCCTCACTAATTTTTAAGGAAGGCAAGTTATTAAGTTATCCAGTCTTGCTCAGTAACAACATATAGTCACACTTATGTACTCATTCGCTTTACTTGAGCTAGGTAGCTGTACTAACACATTCACAATTACATTGTGTTCATGGCTCTTGTTGTATTTACTTTCTTATGCACATAACCAACATTTAATACTCATAATAAACGTGTTGCTCTCACATAACCAACATTTAATACTCATAATAAACGTGTTGGCTCTGTTGGAAACGTTGTCCTGGGCATTTTCCCAAACAAGGTCAAATTGTATGTCGCGTGGCAAAACAGAAGTGATGCTAAATAACAATAAATACTTTTTTCCCCACATCGAGCAAACTGTTTTCATGTAACTGCTTTCATAACTGGCACGTTCCTGTCCACCAATAGGAGTCCAACGGTCCCACGGACAACTACGCAGCCATCGCACAGGTGGATGTTCAGAGGCAAGAGCCAGAAAGTCTACGCAAGTGGAGGGAAGAACAGAAAGAACGCCTTGAGGCTTTAGGTGAGTCAATAAGCCACACCTCAGCTACTTGCTAATCGTTTTATTCTTCAAACTACAGTGTTATGTAGCAAGTCATTATTTTGTTCTCAAGACTCGGCATCCAAGGCGGCAGAGGCGGAGTGGCGAGAGAAGGCCAAGAAGGAGCTTGAAGATTGGCACGTGCACCAGAGTGAGCAGATGGAGAAGAACAAGGCCAACAACAGGTTGGTAGGGTCAGACATGTCCACCTGTTGGCATGTGGAAGGTCTACGTGGGCAACAAGAGTAAAATGCCTTTTGCATCGTGAAAATAATTCCCAAACATTACGCCACAATGTGGCAACTTTTATCACCGCCCAGTATTTATGTATGGTTAAAGTCGACTGAATGAGAATTAACAAAGCAGAACATGTATGGGAACTTTAATGCAAATTTCCGAGAACAGGTGACTGCTGACTTTCGAGTCTTAGGGTCAGTTTGCACACCCTGGCTCAAGTAACTGTCAACAAGTGCATGTTTTGATGACAAGCATCTGTGAAGTGTCCTCACTGCCATGTTGTTAATCTGAAGACTAGATTGCAGAAGAATGCAATATGCAAATAGTAAAGGCTGCAATTTGGAAGTTAAAATATGCTTTATTTCAGTTGATTTTGGGGCTTAATTTTTTTTTTACATTAACATATTTTATTTGGTTATTTATAGTTTCTACATACGATGCTGTGAAATAGTATTTGCCCCTTTCCTGATTTCTGTGTTCTTTGAATATTTATCACATACAAAGGTTTCAGTTTCTCTAACCAATTTCAATATCACACAGAATACCCAAAGAAATACAAAATGCAGTTTCTAAATGCCAATTTAATTTAAGGCACAAAAAATAAAAATCCAAAACTACCTTTCCCTATGTGAAAAAGTAATTGCCCCCCCCCCCCTTGTTAAATCACAAAGTAACTGACTAATGAGAGTTTTGGGAAAAAGTTCAATTTTACAGGTAACACCCTAGCACCAAATTTGTTGCCTCAAGAAATCACATAAATAGAATCTGTCAGACTAAGTGAAGTAGGCTACAAGGTCTCAAGAAAGTTATAAATTAAATACATTCAATTTGAAAATACAGTTTTTGAAATCTATCTGTCTGGAAAAGGTTACAAAGTCATTTCCAAGACCCCGAGGCTTCCGCAAACCACTGTCGGAGCCGTTATTCACAATTGGATAAAACTGGGAACCGTGGTAAACATTTCCAGGAGTGGTCGACCAACTAAAATGACCCCAAGAGTGCAACGACCACCCATCCAGTAGGTTGCAAAAGAACCTAAAGCAACACCCAAAGAACTCCAGACCTCGCTGGCCTCAGTTTAGTGTTCACGGCTCTGCCATAAGAAAGACACTGGCCAAAAATGGCAATCGTGGGAGTGTACCCAGGCAAAAACCACTGCTGTCCAAAAATCAAACAAAGGCTCATCTTACATTTGCCATAAAGATGTCTTGATGATCCTCGAGACTTTTGTAAAAACATTCTGTGGACGGATGAGTGAAATATTGGAACTTTTTGGAAAATGTGCAGCCCGTTTGGGGTAAAAATGGCACGCATTTGATAAAAAGAACATTATGCCAACAGTGAAGCGTGGTGGTGGCAGCGTGATGGTCTGTGGCTGCTTTACAACCTCAGGACCAAGATAACTTGCTGTGATTGATGGAACAATGAATTCTGCTGTCTACCAGAAAACACCCTGAAGAAGAACATCCGACAATTCCTTTGCGCCCTCAAACTGAAACGCTCTTGGATCATGCAGCAGGACGAAACACACCAGCCAGTCCACTTCTGAATGCCCCCCGCCACCCGAAAAAAAATTAAGGTTTTGGAGTGGCTCAGTCAAAGTCCGACTTTGCCGTGGTTTGACCTTAAACGGGCAGTTCATGCCAGAAAACCCCCCAGTATGGCGCGGTAGAAACTAATTCTGTGAAGAAGAGTGGGACAAAATTGGTCCACAGCGATATGAAAGACTCATCAGCAATTATCGCAAAACTGCATTTTATATTAACATGGGGTGTCTCTGTGTGATATTAAAATGGGTTTGATGAACAGAAATCTTTGTGTGTGAGATAAATATGCCAAGAACACAGGAATCAGGAGGAGGGCAAATACTTTTTCAAGGCACTGTAAGTTCAGTGCTTAACAAGTGCAGTCCAAATGTTTCCATATCGTTGTTTCATGAAACATGACAAGTTGAGGTGATAAAGTCGCGGATTTGTTTGCATTATTGTTGGAATTGCATTTATGACTAGGTGCCTTTTTTCATTAGTTTTTATTTCACAATTGGATCATTTTTTTCAAAATTGTAAAGTATTTTACACTACAGTATGTTAAGTGAGTAAGACAAGTCCTCTAATAATGATCAAAAGTCCTGTGATTGAAAGGGTATATATATACATCATAGTTGCTTGTTTTGCCATTTCTGGTGCGCATGAAATGTATATTTTTCCTCTATATAATCGTAGCCTTTTGTCACAGTGTGTATCCTGGTCTTTGTTTTACCTCCCCATTTTGTGCAGCTAACCTGTCCTTCTTTCACACTTTCCTACAGACTCTGCCCAATTTTGACACGGTAGCGCGCGTTTTCCCCACTTTTTTCTGTTCACCAATTCATTGTCGTTTGCGTGACCATCCCTCCTTTAGTAGTAGTAGAGTCTAACATGTTTACCTGTTGTGTGGCACTGACCCTCTTCTCCCTGTCTCCTTTCTCTTTCCTGCTCACTTGGCCTTGCCTGTCTACTAAGGATTGCTGACAAGGCTTTCTCCAAACAGCCCAACTCTGATCTAATAGGCTTTATGTAGGTTTAGAACTCTTGTGCTTTTCACTGTTGATCGCCTCCTCACCCGCTGGCACCTTTTAGTCGCTCTCACCAGACGCATCCCCCGACACTAAAAAGGTAGCAAGAGAGTCATTTTACACAGCCTGCAAAAAAATGTTGACAGTTTTTCCTCAACTTCCAATCAAAGCTAATTATCCTACATAAAATGAGAATATGTAATGAAATGCAGGCGCAAATATTTTGGTGCAACACAGAACATATTAGGTAAGGGACCAGAAATACAACTGACACATGCTCTTGCTCAGGGCTGCTCAAACTTGACCACGTTAGATTTGTAAAATATACACCTTGGCCAGGTGAGTCGTAGGTAATGGGGGGTGAGAAGGAACAATAATTTCAACATGATTTAAAAGTTAAATCTTGTATGTAGCAAAATATCAATAATTATTATTTTTAAATTTTTAGAATAAATTTTACTGTAATTTTATAATTACTGATTGTTGAATTATATTTATGTAATTGGTTATATTTATGCGATTATTTGCAGTAAATGAATTAACCAATTATTAATAAACTAAATTAATTAGAGATGAAGCAATTAATTGATAACTTGTTTAACTTAAAATTGTCCAAATCGTTGTCAGCCTGTCATCAGTGAATATTGTCAGATTTCTGCAGTCCCTCCACTTGAGATTTTCAAACATCTATTTTTACCTTGGAAAACTTTCTGACGTGACTAATCAAATCTATAACTGAAATCGTAAGCAATTTATTTTTGTGCATCTTCTGCATTGTCAATTTGAAATAATGTCCTCTTTTTGAGGAAAGGGATGGAAATTAAAAAGTTGGGAGTTTTGTTTTTCCGATTATTCGGGGAAAAAAACACTGGTCAACAAATCCACTGTGCCACCGTTCATAAAACAATACTGTATGCATTTAAAATAAAAAGGGCTAATTAACTGCACCAATTCCATAGCCTGAGTTCCAAGGTTTGGGTCTTGACAGTTCGTTTGTGCATTTGTGGCTTGACGTGCAGTAGCGTGTCAAAAATGGGCGTGCTAACATCGGCCCTCTCACTCGCAGAGCGTCAGAGGAGGCCTTCCTGGCCGAGAGCGACGGCGATGGCCCCGCGTCGCCATGGGAGCGAGTGGCCCACCTGTGTGACTTCAACCCCAAGACCAACAAGCAGGCCAAGGACGTGTCCCGGATGCGCTCGGTGCTCATCTCGCTCAAACAGACCCCTCTTGTCCGCTAGGGGGCGGACTCGCTCGCGCTTACTTTGCCTTTTCACTTGTCACTGCACCTCATATCACAAAATGTTTGCGATCCCCCTTTTCCACAAAACTCCCAACTAGTATACGACCTTCCCACCTTTCTTGATGCCTATACTTTTGAACTCTCACCCTTGAGGGATCATGAACTGTTCTGTTATTATTATTAGATTTGTCTTATTACTGCAGAATATATTGTTACTGTAAGTTAACATTTCTTACCCTTTTAAATTATGATTACTTTGATCAATTTTAATGCATGCCTCTGCCAAGATTTGGAGTGGACTTTTATTTTTTTTTATATGCTTCAGGTTGTTCTTCACTAGTCAGGTACTTGCAGATTGTAACCACACTTGCCTCTCAGTAATGTAGAACCACCAACTTTAGAATGTTTGTTGTAAGCCAATACGGTTGAAATGTCATCTTCAATGAAAAGATGAAGATGACTTGGACTTCATTTGGACAGTTAAAAGCAGCAGCAAAAGTAATCCCCAACCGAGCAATTTTGTTATTGCATCAAAATTGACAATTAGAAGGCTTGAGTTAGTTTCTCATTTCATCCACATTTTATAAGCTACAATCGACTCAGTGTCAACTTTCACATGTTGCCTATTTGGATATTATGAAAACTGAGGAAAGTGAATGTGAAGAGAATTGGTCAATAAAAAAATAGAAATAATCACTTGTAGTAATGTGTCTTTGTATGATAGATGTAATGCATGTAAAAAATTTGAATATCATACAAAATTTAGTTTATTAGCTTTAATTCCAAAAGTGAAAGGAATGCCTTCCTTACTGATTGGAAAATATTTTACAGAAGACTAGTTCCTAATAGCTACGTATTTAAAACAAACAAAAATTTGTAATTTTTCCCCGAAAAAATTGAATTAAGAAATATGTCGAACTGATTTTATTGTAATGCACACGGCATTTTTCGGTGCTTTTTTTTTAATGTATTTTTTGGGAGCGCAAATCCAAATATCTAAACAGCAAAGTTCTCTAAACTTGACGAGAACCTCCCCAAAACTGGTAGAAATTGGGAGGTCTACATTTTCGGGAAATAAAAGTGAAAACAAAACCACTATGCACTATGTTGCTGCCTTGCAAAGGAAACGGACAGAAGAGAAACATGATAACCATTCAAACAGAAATGGAAGTGTACATACTTAAAATAATTACACTTTACGTGACTTAATACAGGAAACTATAGTGATGAAATTAGAACTTGAAAGTCAACTCGGGCCAGTGAACAGATTGTATTCAATTTTGTCCTTTAGCAACTGCCTTGGGGTCTACATGAGAGGACAGGACTCTGTACACCTATACTCAACTTATTAGTCTTATATGTTTGAAAGTGACTTTTCGAATAACCCTGGTCAATTTGCACAGTATTTCCTTCCCTTCAATATAACGACAAACTCTGGCTTCACATGGATGTTACGCTCAGTGGAGATGCTAAATTAGCCATGGGTATCACAATGTTCTGCGACTAACTGGAAACTAGTCCAGGGTGTACTACAACTCTTGTCCAAAGTCAGAACCTAATAGTTAGGGCAAGCACTATAGCAAATGGATAGTTGCCTAGATTATAATAGTTTTAGATTTTTCATTAGTTTTCAAGTGTATTACTTTTAGCATGTGTGTGTGTGTGTGTGTCACAAAATATTGCGCAATAATGTAAACTACAATTCCCAAACGACTGTTCCGTATGCTAATACCAAAATTAATACATTCCAATTGACCATATTTTTATTTTGCATGACATATCTATTTCAAAGGCACTTACGTGGGGGTATCATTTTAATAAAATAATTACATCAAAGCAGAGAAAATACAGCACAGTATCTCTTGGGTAAGCCACATTTGAAATGACCAAAATCTCTTTCCCAACAATAAATAAGGCTGTCCTACTCATTGGTATATGGATAATGTCTATACGGTGTATATTTGCACTACAGTATTCCATTCCTTAAAACAGTCTGTGAGTGAATCTGTGAATGGAAGAATGTACAGTTGCAGTGCCGCCTCTTGCTCACTGTTTGGGTTTGAGTGCGGCGGCAACGACGCCAACGATGAGTGCGGCGACGGTGAAGCCTTGGGCGAAGATGCGGCCCCGCATCAACAATTGTGACTGCCTGGTTTTGCCCTGGTGGAACGCTCGGAGGCCATACATCAACGCTCCCGCCGTCCCCAAGCAACCTTGGAGACGTACAAAAAAGTGGCATTAGCTCAGCATGCATTCGTTACTTTAGTTGGTATCAGTGAACAAGCGATTATAATGTTACAGCAGTTAATACATGAAGCGATGGAACCGATTTTGTATGTAGGTCAGCAGAAAATCTGGAACTAGTCAGTATATATAGTGCAAACTGCCCAGTTCTCGTGCTAAACTGTTTTCACTGTGCAATACTGTCTTTACTGTGTCCTTACTGTGCAATACTGCTCGATGTGCAATACTGTTTTGTTGCTGGAACCACTACCTCAAGTGCTAAGCCTACAGCCCTACTCTCATCCTATGTTTTTCCTTTGCTCTGACTGTCTCTGTCATAAGCTGCTCTTGCACAACTCTAATTGCCCCATGGGGATCAATAAAGTTTTCTGAATCTGAATCTAAACAACTTCTTTAGGTGCTGTTCGTAACCTATTGGGTAGGGACCGACCAATTAATCGCCCGGTTGATTTAATATTCACTTTTTTTTTTTTTTCTTTACACAGTACAACATAAGACAAAGAAATTGTCAAACATTACACTGCAACTCAAACCCGCGGTCAGCGTTAAGGGACCCAAACATTATTTTATTCATTCTATAGTTGTAATTCATAGGCTGTTTAATCAGGCAAATGTGGTTTTATAATCTGCAATGAACATTTTTTGGTGCTGATTTCAAAAATTATAAAACAGTCAAATCTTCTAATTCATGTCTTTGTTTTTGTAAGTATACGAGCATACGAGTATACGAAGCAACAAAGAAGTTATTTTATCCATAATATATATTTTTTTTCCATTAATCGGCTGATTAATCGTTACCTGATTTTTCATCTGACAAATATTGGACTCTATAGTTTATTGCCCTCAAAAATTGACCAGTAAACAATGTATCCTAGACAAGCGTATACTGTACTAGCACGACTAACAGATTTACTGAGAAACCAAAAAAATAACTAATCAAATGAAAAACGATCAATTGTACCTTCATGCCCATCTAAGCCACAGTGGCTAAAATGAGCAACATATGGGAGCAGCATCAATTAATGATGTCCTTTATCAACTTTGCCTAAGAAGCGAGGTCCTAGACGAAGTTTCGCTTGATGCTATGTAGGATTAAAAAAATACAAATAAAAACTTGATCGTAAATGGCAGGGCTTGTGTAACTCACCTATTGGGACGAACGGGTTGTCCTTGGTTTTGCGCAAGAACTTTTCTTTCAATGTTTCATCTTTGACCACCCGTAAAGGGCTGAAGCCCTCGATGACCGGAGGCTTTGACGGGTCAAACGGGATGCTTTGTCTTCCCGAGGGGGCTGTCGTCGGTGTTTGGTCGACGACAGCTGGATTTGCGGACGCCGCCATGTTTGCTATCGCGACAGCGGAAGCTCAGACATTAAACAACCACACTTCAGTAGGACTTCCGCATAGCGCTTCACAATAAAAGTCTCGTATTCCGACATTAGCGACAACTACAAATACTGTACATCAGGGGCCCTCAACCTTTTTTGCCCCACGGACCGGTTTATGTCAGACAATATTTTCAGGGACCGGCTTTTAAGGTGTGGCGTAAATAATACAACAAAATAATATGGTATGAGCTGCATGAAAACTGTGGCGTTTTCGAAATATAATAATAAACACAAGGAGCGTCTAATCTGGCCGCAACACTCCGATCGCTATGGCAATGTTTAATGCCTTCAAAATACGATACAACGCAAATTCAAAGTGCATGAAAATGACGACTCACCACAGCACCGAGCTTGATTTTCTGCAACCAGACGGTCCCATCTCGGGGTAATAGGAGACAATGACACCTCAAGTGTGTGGTTTATGTCCAGTCTACTTCGCTCAACGTACTTTTAAGGCCGCCGTCATTTGCGATCTCCAGCAGTTTTTTTTTTTACTCATTTTGCGAGCTCCCGTGTTTTGTTTTGAAGTAATCGCGGTCACGTGAAGGAGAAGCGTGGCTTGACGTTTGTCAAGCGTAACACAGACGGATGTAAAGGAGAATCCGGTAGTTTTTCAAAATAAAACATCTTTCGTATTCCGAAATAAATAAAACGGAATTAAGGCAAGTTCTTTCTGTGCGGCCCGGTACCAAATGCCCGGCGGACCGGTTGGGGACCCCTGCTGTACATGTTACGACAGAAGCAAAAATACGCACGAGTTGACAACTGCGGGCTACTAGTACCAATATTCAACTAATCATGGGCTTCACTAGTTGTCCTACTCGTGAGGACAATCTGTATGGTATGTGTGGGCAGATCGACCCAAATAATATTGACACCAAGTCACTATAAATACTGGACCGATATTAACACTGCAAAATTGATACAGTAGTTTGTGTTGATTTCGGGTGTGCTGCTGCAGTTTCTTCAAACAGGCAACAGCTCACCCAACTGAAAAAAAAAAAATCTTCTACACGGGGTGACTATTTTACGGTATATTTAACGAAAAGTTTTGGGAACCGTTTAGCTTTTTTCACACTTTTTTCCATAAAGGGAAAACAAGCACAGCAAATCTTTTCGTAAATGTGTAACTTTACTAGTTTGTGACGAGTACCAACTAAAAAACTTGGTTTCCATTTATCCCTTTGTGCTTTTTGTAAAGGGGCAATTCGATGACTCATCTATCTACGCATTTAATGAAATCAGTATTGGTAAGGTCATACTGGGCATATACATTTTATTTCTTCATTATTTGGAGAAGGCCTGGTCCGCTCTATATGAATATTGAACTACTGCAGCACAGAAGTTCATGAATAAGGTTCAATTGCTAAAGTGCACCAAAAGTGGCACGAGGAATGGATAAAAAGTATTACTGATGCGACAGTCGAGTTGTTACTGTTTTAATCTTTGAGAAATGGCCAAAATAACTGAAATGTGGCTGCACAAGTGTGCACAACCTCAACTGGGATATTGCTGTTAATAACTAGTCACGCTCAAACTCAGTTTAAATACAAGTCAACACATATCTGCCAATTAAACGTGCCTCTGAAAAATCCCAAATAAATTTGAGATGTTCTCATATGATTTCCTGATATTTTTTTGTGCTAACACTGTTATTTTGAACTGTTCAAAATTCCACCTTGTCTAATGCCCCAGTTCCAGCTGAATTTGAAAAACTACACGTTTCACTGGAGATGTGCTGTTTCGTTTATATCAAGACAGACAAGACACAAACACTTTTCAACCTTTTTATTGAATATTAAGGTAAATATTTCACATTAATACAGGCTACATAAAGTAGAGCCACTATACGACATGAAATTTACTCTCATTTTAACCCTTTTTAGTATGTAAACAATTATACATGTATTTACCACTCTAAAAGGTTCTGATTTCACTTAAGGTAATCATCAACTAGGTCTGGGCCGAGTTTAAATAGCTACTTCATGTCCAGCCTCTTGCAGCCAAAGAACGGTGAATGCGGCTTTAAGTCAAAATCGCTAAACTATGCAGAACGGTTCCTGTTGAACAGGCCATCAAACATTTTGTTTGAACCATCAGACCACTCAACTTCTCTCCTCCTTCCAAATAGGCACAACAAGAATGGGCTCGGGAGAACCGCCAACTCTTAAACCTCTGGTCTGCAACTCACACTTCTCTAGTCGTGTTAATATGTTGTACTTTTGTTTGTTCTTCGTCATAATTGGTCAGAATCATCCGTCGGTAAGCTGTGTTTTTCTTTTTTGTAGTTTTTTTTTTTTTGGTTGGTTTTTTTTTTTTTGACTGGGGACGACGCCATCTAGTTGACGTGATTCAGGTGCACATTGCCCACGTGTGGCGCCCAGGTGCCAGGCCACATCTGAAGGTGGGAAGCAACAAGTCAGTCATACGTTGAACGCTGCATGATGTGACATGACAAATATGGGACCCGACCTGCTGTTGTGGATCGGTGTTGTCTGCGTTGTTTGGGACCACTTTGATGATGGGGCTCCACGCGGGGTCACCGGCATGCAAACCATTGTACATGGGTCCCCCGGGACCATCTGCCATTGGTGGATGAGTGGGCAGCATGGTTCCTCCATACATTGACATGGGTATTCCCTGATGCAGAACAGAACACATTTTTACGCTTAGTGTTTTTTTTGTTTTTGACCCCCATAAGTCCTCATTTTATAAATGTGTTAAGTTCATACGCCTGTGACATAACCCAAATTTGTAGGTCAAGAACAGTACACTACACCGGTAGTTTGAGCCACACTTACATTCCAGTAACCAGCAACTATAACCAAAAACATTTCAGACGCAATACGTAAGTAGAGAATCTTTACACAAAGTCAGGGTACCAGTAGTGCTGAGGTAGCAGCAAAAATAAAGTGACTAGTAGTACAATCATTTAGTATTTGTTGAATATTGCAACAGAGAAAAAATTGGCCAATGATTTGGGGATTTGAAATGAATTGTCTTTGTCTTAAGGTGTTGTGTTACCCTCCAACTAAAACAGATCATTGCAAAGATCAACAGCAAATTTGAAAAGAGCTCATATTTGTCAATTAATATCAGCTAGCGGATTCATAAATCGGGTCCTATTTAAGTATTTCAAAAGTTTAAATGTGACTAATCCTGTGGGGCTCCTCACCCCCGCCCCCCTCCAGATTTTTAAAAAATGTGTATGTTAGGTAGGTCTGGATGAAATCTCCCAGGAAAAACGGCTTTACTGATGTTATTGTGCAACGTTCATCACTTCCAAATGCCAATGTTGCCGTAAAACTGAGGACCCCTTGAACATAGTTATTGCTTTGCTTTACCTTTGGGAAGTCCATATAAGTGTTGGGCATGTGCTGAGGCTGGTGAAAGTTATTAGCGGGGTTAGCGATGCCCGTGTCATCCTGCTCCATGGGCTGATGCTGAGAGAACGTCGACTGCTCCGCCTGCAGCTGAGGATGCATCATGTGGCTACTCATCAGGGGCTGGGACCAACCAGACATGCCCTCTGTAACAACAGGTTACAGTTTTAGCAAGAGTACAAAAAAAAAAAAAAAAAATTTGAAAAATCTAGTGTCAATATTTTTGAAAGGATTGCATTAGTTTCGACAAAAAAAATGCAATGAAGAAATGAATGTATAGATATTGTAGTTGTGGTAAAAACAAATTTCCATGCTTTTCTTAAAAAAAAAAAAAAAAAAAAAGGATATTTATCAGTGACCCCCAAACTATTGAACACTAGTTGTGTCAACCACACACACACACACACACACACACACGTGTATTTTCATGGAAAATTTGGGATTCTCAGTTTGACCCTACATTTTTGAACAGTAAATAAAATGGGTGGTCTAACCTGAAGCACTGCCAACACCAAATGACCAAATGCCTCCCTGTCCAACCGAGGCAGTGTAGCTGGTAGTGAGGAGAGGGGGGTTCACCGAGCCCGTCTGTCTGATCCTCGCCAGTCTTTCCGTGCCGATGGGTGGAGGGACCTTCCGGTCTTGCTGCGAGGAAGCGCCTTGCTTGGGCTGGGGCGGCGGGACCACGGCCGAGGTGGAGAGGCTGGAGCTTGACGCCGTCGATGGAGGCGGAACTGGAGACTCGCCTGATGGAGGGGGAAGGGGGAGGGAGATGCAGTATTGACATATTGAGAGCGGACTTGACAGGCAGAGTGTCATTTACTGAAGTCTTTACTTTTCTTCGCCAAACATAAAGCCATATTGCGGCTCCTACCAGATGTGGAAGCACTCCAGGGGTGAGGGGAAAAGTGCTGCCTGCTGAATGAGGGCGTGCCGACTCCTGTGTGACCATGCAGATACACCGGGCTCCCAGAGATGCTGGTGGCATAGCTGGTCAATGCTGTGGGTACAGACAGCATGCATTTGCCGTTTGGATTAATCTCTTAGTCGACATCAGGGATAGGCAACTGGCAACCCACATACACTCAAAATGGGTCTCGGTTACTTTTTGAAAAATAAAAATGTTTACTGTAGAAGATCAGTTTCAAGTTGTAACAACAGTGTTAACCACTAGATGTCATTCATCACCCAAGAGCACCTCTAAACCCCAAGACTATTTCTGGATCAGAAGGATTATATTGTATGTTCAACAAATTTAAACACAAACCTATTTGCTTAGTTTGCTTAAAGACACTATTAGCCATGAAAGATTTCAACTTAAAAAACAACAACTCCAATCAAAAACGTATACAGCTATTATTTCCCATTTTCACAAGAAGCATTGACGTTTGTTTGCAGTGCACAAGTTATTACTCAATCGGTGTCTTGCAAAAGCATGGATATATTGCATCCTTAACTGTGTTCCAAATGTATGATGGCTTGTGAAAAATGACAGACCTGCTCTGCAGTAGCATCCAATGAAGGACTAACTTAACTGACCTAGACTGCACTGTGTTCACACAGGCGAGTGAGACAGCCTATTAATTTGGCAATTTTGAAAGACAG